CCCCCGAGATTATTTCACTTGGTCCAAAGGCACAAAGAATTTTGATTGGTCTATCTCCGTCGGGTACGTCTCCGGATAGATACTGTGGCTGATAAAATGAGTTACTCCTTGCAATCCAAGGACACTGGGGTCAGATATATAGATTTTTTATTGATGTCATTTTCTTTCAGTCTGCCGTATCTTATATTAAACCATATTTACAAATTGAACAAACTCCACCTATAAAAATGATGACTCAATTTCCATTCAACTAAAATCTGAGAAGTATCTCATTTTGTCAGCGCACCTAACAATATTCTCACCTGCTCGGGTTCAGACCGATGTCCTATGTCCGTGCGTTGATGGGAGTTGACAGCTGGAGTCCGTCTGGTGTGCATTAGAATTTCTTTGGTTTGACTGAATGCGCAGAATCATTGCGTTTGGCTGGACAAACAATTACAATTAAAACATGTAAGCATAATTCAATATGGCCGCCGTTACCATGACAACTTTTGTATATAATTATTCGCCGTATGGCTGTTTGTTTTGGGGTTGTTGTTGTTGTTGTTGTTGTTGTTGTTGTTGTTGTTGTTGTTGTTGTTGTTGTTGTTGTTGTTGTCTGGGTTTTTTAAATCATTGCCTCACACTATATCTACCATTTGAATATACAAAGTACTAGGGCTCGTAATATGTCGTAAAAGGCTTTTAAAGGTGCACGGTAGTCAGACTTCCATCTATTCCCTTTAACGCCCTGACGCTGGAATCGGTCCTACTAATTGTCGTCAGGAGCCGTCCGGAGACGTCCGTAGACTTATTTTTTTAATGATTATGTCTTATGATTTTTTAAAGTAATTTTTAGTTTGTTAGCAAAGCTGGCTAAAATCGTTAAAACTGAACAGGATTGACCTTTTGGTGAGGACAGCTGATTTGTTATGAACTAGAAGTTGGACGTAGCAGATCAACAATCTCTGACCGTTTATTTTTGGTTTCGCAGTTTAGAAACTAAACTGTAGACCCTGCATTTGTTTTCGTGCTCTCTCCCAACCTGCCATCTCCCCTCCATTTCTCACCCCACCCAGGTATTAAAAGTGGTAGATCTACCAAATCACGACAGCGAAGGTTTAGTGAATATAGGTGGTCTGCACGTAACAGGCTGCAGCACCTGTAAGAGATGACGGCCTCCACACGGCTTGGGACGCCAATTAGTAGGACCCGCTGTAATTGCAGTCTGAACACTAGCAGGTGAGGTAATGCATATAGGCTTCAGTTGAAGTTGTTTAGATGGCCAGCCATTGTCGAGGGGGGGGGGGGTAGCAGGTGGCCGTCTTAGGAAGGACTGGTTTAAAAAAACAAACAAACAAAACAAACAAACATAAAATCCCCGTTATCCTCCAATGTCCAACCCGAAGACGACCACAGGCTTTGAGAGCCGTAAGTCCCTTTATTATCTTTGGAGGGAGGGTGAAAATGGAGATTTTTGTTCGGGCTGACGTGAGTGCTAAATTGTATAAAGTGTTACGTACGAGAAAGATGGTGTGCAATGCAAGGGGAAAACAACATGCGTTAGAGGAAGAAGACCAAGCGTCATGGTAAAACAAACAGACGTGTCGCTACCACTTGGCAAACGAGCTAGCTTACTGTCACAAGATCATCTTGACATCCATTATAAATGCATGTAGAGTGGGTTGCGTGTGTGAGTGTGTGTGTGTGTGTGTATGTGTATGTGTGCGTGTGTGTGTGTGTGCGCGCGTGCGTGCGTGCGT